AATTTTCATTGTTATTATTGCTTTTCTCTGGCACTCCTTGTTACTAGTTCCCATATTGTATTCATTTCTAAGCATGGTCGGCTCAGGAGATTTTTGTGGCCTACCATATGTGCTGATTCCTTAAGTTTACAAATTTTCCAATGATTTTCTTTGTCTATGATTTCAACCTGATCCCACAGAGGGTGGTGATCTCCCTTCTCTCTCCATATATGGTCAGCCATGCCTGATTTTTCCACTTCCCTTCGTGTTACAGCTTTTTGGTGTTCTTGAAGCCTTACCTTTAGGGGGAAGCCTGTCTCTCCTTTATATTTCTTTTTGCAGCTGCACGGGATGATGTACAGTCTTTAGTCATGTTCTCCTCTATGAGTGGGGGGGTTCTTACTTGGGAGAGGTATCTGCGAAGTGTCATCCAGCTTTTGAAGGTTGTCCTAATGTTATATGGACTGCAGATCCTTTGTATTTTCTCCAATAACCCCTTCACATAAGGTATGCAGACTGTTTTCTGAATGTTGTTGTCTTTCTCTTGTGCACTTAAGGAATCAGCGCAGTTGAAAACTTGGAGAGGAGAATTATCAGGAGATAACTGATAACTGACATCCATTAGACATGGCACATGTAACTAGAACAATTTATGTCAGCGAGCAAAATAAAAGGTTTAGTTTGACATTCCAACCATCTGAAGAAGGCCAGAGTGTACAACAGCTGAAACGTTGTGATAAATATGGCAAGAAAGATCAAGACAATAGTCCAAATAATGTAAATAGTGTTCAGCCAATGTTTTTGATATTCTGCATTTTTTCTCATTTTCTAAAAATGGTTGACTTGTTTTGCTTATTACTTTAAAAATTTTCTCAACTTTCTCAACACTGTAATGAGTCTGTGGGTGAATGCATTCTGGATGATATTCCTCTCCAGGACTACATTGCAAATGACCATCATTTGCATGATGCAAAACCTTATTCAGTCTCCCAGGTGAGTCTCTTGTGAAAACACTGGCGACATTCTTTGACTAAAGGAACACATGCATGTAGTCCCACTGGGAGTAAACAATTGCCAATGACTTACGTTGATGTTGATACTCTTGAGGCCACATTTGCTCTTCTTATCTGTGGATGCAATGCAATCTGCCACTGCTGCTTTTATAATGTGTGGTTTTGCTAAATGTCTCAAACTGGTCTTTTGCATATGATATCAGTGTCATCTTTGGGAAACAATATAAATATAAAATACTTTTAAGAAATAGATTTTTCCCCCAAGCAATTTAATCAAATGGAATAATTGATAACCAGAAAAATATTGTGTTGCAAATATGAAAAAACTGCCCCTTAAAATAAAAAAAAGAATTAGAAAAAGAAAAAAATACATTTTTCATTTTTTTTTTTTTTTTTTTCATATGACATTATTTTTAACTAACCTGAATTTTTTTTGTTTTGAATGACATTTTTGATCTCTTCCTTAAATTTAAAAAATATTATTTTTATTTTATCTTTTTAAAAGTTATTTGAAATCAGTTTGAATGGCTGGCAATATTTTTGTCTTGTGTAATTGAAAGAAACCACAGCTCAAAACAAGTTCTAAGACAAATGTAATTATTTTTATTTTTTAAATCTTTCTATTCTCCATTAAATATCAAAATCTTCATAACAGCAACAGAGGAAAATTTATCTTCAAACAGTTATTTTAAATTAGAATAAAATGGTAATTAAACTTTGTTTCTCAATTTATTTTTAAATGAAAATGCATCAGTCATTGCAGTTAGTTGAGCATCTAATACTGTCAAATGCAAATAACTAAGTCATTTATACTTATCCTTCTGCTTATCAAAATTACAAACATTAAATGAAGTGGTTAAAATAGGCAAATAGACACTACTTAAATAACAGACTGGTTCAATTGTAAAATATAGCGAAAACATTTTTGGGTATCATTTTTGGAGATTAGCATTCATTAGACATTTCTCAAAGGGCAACATTTGTCAGAATTTTAAAATATTATTTTTTTTTTTTCATTTTAATAAAAAGGGGGCCCTATCCATAATAATATATAGTGTAAAATCAATCCCTGACTTTTTTAAAGAATCATGTATTTTCTTTTTTTTTTATCTACAGATATTAAGTTTTAAACTAGGTTTATGTCATTGATAGGAAAAACTTTTTTTTTTTTTTTCTTTTTTTTTAAAAAGATTTATTGTCATTAACAAACACATTTTTAATTAAATAACAAGTGAATATATACATATTTCAAGCAAGTAATTGCTTGTCAGGTGAAACACTGTTATTTTTATTTATTTATTTTTTTTTTTAACAAAACGATTCCTATTTAATTAAGGAACAGACAGGTATTTTTTTTTTGTTAAGTTTCACCTAACAATTACTTGTTTAAGTATGTATACCTCCATTTATTCTTTATTTAAAAGAAGTCTTTTTTTTTTCTTTTTAAAATAAATCTGCTTTCATACACACATATCAGTGATATAATCATTGTTTCAAACTTGATATATGTAAATAAAGAATGTAAAACATGATAAATCTTTAAAAATCAGGGACTGATTTTACACTGTATCAATATTATGAACAGGATACAACCCCACTTCTAAAATGATAAAAAAATCAATATTTTACAATTCTGACAATGGTTACACCTTGAAGATGCCTCAATGTATGCTTATCTACAAAAGTTATTTTACTTATAAGTTGATGCAAAAGTAAGGTAGATAATAATAAAGTTTCTACAGTGTTGCCTGATAATTTTTTTCTCTCTCTTTTACACACACACACACACTTGTGTATATATATGTGTGTATTTATATATATATATATATATATATATATATATATGGTTGAAAATATAAGGAAAAGTTAAAAATTGATAATTTGACAAACTTTTTTCATGTCCTTATTTCACTTGTTTCAGATTGGTTTTCTGGTTCCTTCTAAAGTCTTCTCATTCTCTTTCATTCCCAGTAGCCCCTTGTGTCTTAGAGGCATTATCACCTTGCTTGGGGTGAAGTGATTAAAAAAAATAATGGTATAAAAATATTTACGAAGGAAGAAAATTTGGTAATATTTAAATGTTAACTTTATATTTTCCCATTTTTGGAATTATACTAATTTATATCGGGTATATTATTATGAGGATATGCTGAAAATTTAAATGCTCCAAGAATCCATCTTGATGGAACTTAGAACCAATTAGAAGCAGACTTGCTACATATACCTGGACAGACCCTTTCTGATAGGGTTACTCAATCAGCAGAAGGATATCATTGTGTGAGTGGTTCCAAATCAAGAACCTTTCAACATTCCCTTGTAGAATATTGACTATATAAATGGTATTTGATTTTATTTTATTTTTTTTTCATTTGTTATTCAATTCAACAAACAGAAGTAAACTTAAAAAGTTGATAATTCAGTTTATAATGCTAATGTTAATTATTAATTTTTAAAGACAAGATACACTTCAAGTACAAAGTGTCTGGTCTATGTTATAGTTCAGATGTGCCACTGCCACCCTTTGGCTTCCCACTTCTTTCCTCACTTCCCCACCCTAGGGGTATGGTACTGCCCAATTTGGGAATCATTACTCTATTGTCTGTTTTACTTTTTGTGTCACTTGTACATTCGTTGCACTGCCCAACCCAGAACTCAACTACCACAAGAGCAGATATGTTTGAACTAATAATTTAATCCACTCGACCATGTCTCCTTAACAATCCAGTATTGTAATTCTGGAATTTTAAAACTAATCTTTATTTTCAGCTGATAAATTTTTTTTTAGCATCCATTTTTTCTTAATGGTTCTCAAATGTTGTTATATCTATGCTAGGCCTACTGAGGAAGTTGTCAGGGCTTAACATCTATTGATTAACTGATACATGATATCCTACAGACATGGACAATAGAATGAGAACAATCTACCCTCGTTGAGTGAATAAAATATTTGGTTCAAAATTCTGAGAAGGTTACAAAATATGACAGATACCTGAAGGAGTTTAGTGATTTCAGTGGCCCAAACATTGTGAGTGGAACAATCTTGAGGAGTATAAATAAAAGTAATGTGGAAAATGAATAAAGAAGTACATGAAAACTAATTGCTCACTAGTAACTTTTAGTGTTTAATATTTTTAACAGGGATAGAGATATCAGACATAATTACTCATATAAATATATCCTGAAAATTCTACCAATATTGGTTATTTCAGGAAGAGGCAGTTGGAAATTCCGGGGCACATAATGAGGAAGGAGGACTTGGAAAATCGGATACTCACAGGATAGATTGAGGGGAAAGAGGATAGCAGCAAAAGACATATTGATGAGCTCAAGTAAATGAGTGGTGGAACAGGGTTTGGGAGAAATAACAAAAAGACAAAACTTATTAAGAGCTACAAGGGACAGGAAGATGTGGAGGGCCATGATCACCTATGTCCTAAATGGAGAAAGCACATAAAAGAATAACACAAAATCTATAGTGAAAACATATATTTACATAATATAACCTAACTGTGTTTACACACACTGGTGACAGGTAGTTTTGTCTTCAAAATGTACTCTACTGTCCTTGCGTTATTTACATATTAGACTAACAAACAACATTTACTTGTATCATTAATGAGTTGTCAAAATATTTGCTTTCTTCTGTACATGAAATTGTTAATCCCAGAACAAACAGGCAAACTAAAAAAGCATAAGGACTTTAACACACTAAAATATTTCATTCGGACCAAATCTTGAGCAAAAATATATTTTGCTGAATTTCTCAGCTTTTAAATTTCCTCCCCAATTTCTTTTTTTAAATTGTTTTCTATTATGTTCAAAATATAGTGCAATAATATTGTCATATTTGGACATTTTGTTGTAATAATTTTGATTTAGACATTTTTTTTCTCACTTATTGTTTGTATGTTTGTGCGTGTTAAAAGCAATTAACATATTCATTGTGAGTAGCTCATTGTGATCCAATATGAATGCATATGCATGTGTGTTAGTTCATATTTGAAGTATATGTGCGTCATATTTATAAGTATGTAAATGAGACAGATATAATGCCTTGTATTTGTGGGTGTGTATGTATGTGGTTGATGCAGGGGTATGTTTGATAAATGTATGTATGCATATTTCCTACATAAATAAAATCTATGTTTATGTGTTATCTAGATTATTTTTTTTTGTGTGTGTGTGTTAATATATTTCCAAAATACATTAACAAGTGAGAAGATAGATAATAGCCTCCTCAACTTCCTTTTTACAATAATGGATAGAAAATATTATACTTTTATTTCTGTTAAAGAAGGTTTGAGTGTTTTTTCATTCTTTCCTTTGCTTATTATTATTCATTGAGTCGCTCAAATAAACTTCAATCCCCCAAATCTCTTGAAAGATAATTTCTTCCAATCTGAGGAAAGAAAAATAACAAAAAAAAAAAACACTTTCATTTTCCTGTGTTGGCAAATGTTTTCAGCCATTAGAATCCATAGGAAGGTCTTCTTGTGTGAAAGTGTGTTTTATTCTCACCCCCCTTTTTATTCCTCCTTTTATTCTCGTCCCCCCACTAATTTGCAAGTTTTTTATTGTTTTTTTTTTTTTTCCATATAAGGAAAAACAAATTATTTTTTATAAGTTGTCTTCATTTTTGAAAAATGATGCTTTTGGCTGATTGTGAATTCTGCATTCGTTGCCCCCATCCCACACTAGCTCCACACCATAACCCCCCCCCACTTTTTTTTTTTTTTTTTGCAGATGTGTCTGTCTTTACATGTAAACGCCTCAAGTCTTTTATAAATATTTGTCTCATTCTATTTGCATAGTTACATCTCCATATCTTCAGATACATATTTGGCCACTCCGTTCTCCATGTCTTCTGTATATGTTTATATACATTATGAAAGAGAGAAAACTTGCCTTTATGTGTGTGTGTGTATTTACATATGTGTCTATACACACACACACACATATATATATATATATATATATATATATATATATGAGAGGGAGTCAGTAACAGGGAGGTGCTTTGATGATAAGCCATAATAGAAAATAAGCATTGATTGGCTTGTTTATAATTTCTGCAAGAACGTTCTGTTTTCTGAGACAGGAAAAATCAGGAAAATATATCCAAATTTTAAACTGACAACTTCATCTCCACTTCCCCATTCAACAACACCAACAAAAAAAAATTAATGAATTCTGAGTGGAAGAGAGACAAAAAAAAAACATTTTTCTCTCAATATCAGATAGGCAAATATTTGTCTTCTGAAATCAGCTTTTTATAATTTAAAAGAAATAAAAAAAATAAAAAGCAAGTGGGAGGAGATATTAACTTCATATATTGCTTTTTATACAAACATTGTCAAACAGTGTTTCTTTCTGAAGTTGGGGGATGAAGAGATGAAATATTACTTCTGTTTTAATGCACAGAACACTTGTAGATAATTCCTTGTCGATTCAGCTTTACAACATTGTCAGGTCTATTTAAATTTTAAAATATGACGACTGCGCTCATAAGTTAATATTCCTCCCCCTGCCAGTAAACTCACTTCCTACTGTTCGCCATGGCACTCGCTACGCCTATCAAGTGCTTCCATTGATTTCCTTCCATTTTCCCCTAATTTTTCAGCTTTCTCATTATCTCTCTCTCAAATTGTCTTATTTATATTCATCTTATATTTTATTCCCTCCCATCTCTCTCTTCAATGTCTTACTCTCCTCCTCCTCTCTAAACAGTTTTTTTTTCTGCAGTAAACCATATTTTTCATAGTTTTTTTTTTACACTAAGCACTCAGTCATGTCTACCCATTTTCATTTCCTCTTTACACATATCTAATTGGTCTTCTTTTTTTTCTTTTTTCTTTTTTTCCTCATTACTCAGGTCAACCTGCTCCCTTACTCTTCTTCTTTCTTTTCTCCTTAGCCAGCTCTACCCTCTCTGTTTTTTTTTTCTTTTCTTTAGCCAGGTCTACCCTCTCCATTTTTCTCTCTCTCTCTGCATGGCTAGATCTACTCACTGTTTTTTTTTTTTTTTCTATTTGCCTGGGTCTACTCATTCTGTGGTTTTTTTTTTTTCTCCTTGACCAGGTCTACCTGCTCTGATTTTTTTTTTTTTTTCTTCTGGACCATGTCTACCTACTACCTGTTTGTTTTTGTTTTTTTTTCCTCCTCCCTCCTTGGCCAGGACTACTCACTGTTTTTTTTTCTATTTGGCTGGGTCTACACACTCTGTTTTTTTTTTTTCTCCTTGACCAGGTCTACCTGCTCTGATTTTTTTTTTTTTTTTTTTTTTTCTTCTGGACCATGTCTACAGGACTACTCACTGTTTTTTTTTTCTATTTGGCTGGGTCTACACACTCTGTTTTTTTTTTCTTCTTGACCAGGTATACTGGCCCTGTTTTTTTTTTGTTTTTTTTTTCTTGGCTGGGTCTACCACTCCATTTTCGGCTCCTTTTTTTTTTTTTTTCCTTGGCCAGGTTTAACCACCCCATTTTTTTTCTTCTTGGCTGGATCTATCAACTCACACCCCACTTAACTAGGTCAACTTCTATCCAATCATCTCATTGCTTTTTCCTTCTTTGCCTTCTTCTCAGCCACTCCTTCTCACTTGCCTCTCTCCAATTTTGGACAATCACCTCTTGGCTTCTATTACATTTGTAGCTGGGCCCTATCAGCCATTTTGTTTTTTGCAGCTAGCCTATTTCACTTTTTTTGATCACTCTATTGTATAGTCTACAGCTCACTATTTTTATCTGCATCATCTCTCTCCCATCCTTACCCTTTTCTTCATTCATTCTCTTTTAACCCTAAGCCTTTCCTCTCTGATTCTTACCCTTTGCTTACTGTTACTCACACTGTTTAATTCTCTCTTTGTTCATTACTATATTTTCCCTCTTTGCTTGCTTACTTTCCCTCTCTCATTCCTCTGCATTCGACCACTCTTCATTCAGTCTTTCTATATTCTCCTTGCCGTTCTCTTTGTTTTTGTTGTCTCCCCTTTGCTGCTCACCCTCTGTCCCCTTTTTATTACTCACTCACTTTCTCCACACTCCTTTTTAACTCTTTGCTCTCCCACTTTCTTACCTTGCTTATTTATTCTTTCATTTTGCTATATCATGATTGTCTTTCCTTCTCTCATCCTCTTTCTTTAACCCCCCCCTCATGTGTTGTTCTCTCTTTTTCTGTTATTACCATCTTGATATCAAATCCTTTAAGGTACTCATCATCTATTACTAATTTCAAATATTTTTTACCTGGTTATACTTCCTACTATTCCTCCTCACTATTTTTATACTGTTATTCAGTTCTTTTGATATGTGTGCATGTGTATATATATATATATATTCTAGATAACTAGAAAGGATCAGTATAAAAATAATACACAATATGCCTATATTATTCAATCAAACATATTTGAATGAAGATATGTTGCACATATATAATATCTCATTGTTAAATTTTGTTTCCCAAATCTAATTTTTCCTCAAAGTATTGAAATGTCATAAATAAACAAAATGTGAACAGGGAGTAGAAATTAAAAGTTTAAATTCTTTATTAGATGGGTGATGCTTGGGTGATTGCTTACATTATTTACACTATTTGGGCAGTTATCCTTATTTGCCATATTGACAACATTTTGGCTGTGATTGGAATTTCAAACCGGACCTTTTATTTCATCCACTGGAGTAGATTGTTTTAGTTCTACATGCCATGCCTCTTCTGAATGTCTCAGTTATTTTCCTTTTAGCTCAATTTTTGGTCCACCACTAGCCGCTGTAGCCAGGTATTGAACTCACAGCTCTTTGGGTCTAGTCACTGGATCTAACCAATGCCTTTATCCACTCAGCCATGTGTCCTTAAGGATATCTGTATATGAATTTTTGGGACTTAGAATCCTAATGTTTCAGTATTATATTGCAAATTTTTGTTGTTATTCATTGCTTCTCTCTAGCACTCTTTATTACTGGTTCCCATATTGTATTCATTTAAATGCTTGGTGGCTCAGGAGATTTTTGTTGCCTAGCATGTGCTGATTCCTTAAGTTTTCACATTTTCCAGTGATGTTCTCTATTATTTCAACCTCATCCCACAGTGGGAGTGATCTTCCTTTTCCCTCCATATGTGGTCAGCTGTGCCTGATTTTTCTATTTCCTCTTGTGTTACTGCTTTATGATGTTCTTACAGTCTTACCTTAAGAGGGCGGCCTGTTTCACCTTTATACCACAGCTGCATGGGATGGTATAGATACAATCCTTAGTCATGTTCTCATCTGGGGGTGGGTCTTACTGTGAAGTGATGAAACATTGTGAATATGGCAATGAAGATGTGGATAACTGTCCAAATAGTGTAAATGATGTAAGTAATCATAATACCTCATCTCAAAGATAAATACAGATACATGGGTGATCTGTTTATTGACGTCTGAAATATTCAGATACTTCTTTTTTTCAACACTGGTGCTTTTCATGAAAAGAAAAGAACGGTAATATTTACTTAAAAATAACCAGAATATCAAAATATAGTTTTAAAGATTGAAAATTGCTTGGAAATTCTTGAGTTTTAGCAAAAACCATGTCTCTTGGCAGCAGATGGAAAACCCTCATTTCAAAAATTACAAGCTAAGTTTTCTTTTTGTTTTTTTCAAATAGAGCTTTTGTGCATTTAATATTTGTTTAAGTTTAAATCTTATTATTTTATCATTGAATAGGTGGCTTAGCCAAAGAAAGCCAGCTTTTACCATTTCAATATACAAGATTTGGCTGAACTGTCACTTGCTGGTTACTACTGACATTCCTTTAGATATAATTTACAATTTTTATCATAATAGTTGTTTTATAACTTTATGATTCTAAAATGAAATGCATAAACATACCATATATAATTGTGTATAAGCAGACTTCATGTATAGTGTTATAACTGAATTATTTTTGCATGAATTTTAACTCCTCCAGAAAATATTTCCTTGTGTATAGTCTTTAAGAAGACATCGTTAACCATTCTGTCCATGATATTCTCATGGAAAATACATGATTTTTAACCTCTTCAATAAAATTTATCTGTATATAGTATGACACCCTATTTTTGCATAAGAATTGATCATAAAAACTCATATTATACACGAGTATATATCATATCTAATTTATATATTTATTCTGAATGTTACCACACTTTATTTTATATCTGAAATCATTAATTAATTTCTTGAGTTAAAATCTATTTCCAACATGGATATTTTTAAAAATTTAAAAAAAAAAAATCTTTTGAACAGAATATTTTTCATAGTATCTTCATCTTGCCAAAAGTCACTACCAATTCCATGTTGAAGTGCAATGGATAAGTTGGTACAAGGCTTCTGGACACAAAAGTTAATTTTCCATGTTGAAAAATGCATGTAACTTATATAGATGTTTACCATGAGATTAAAAAGAAAAAGTTCTTAAAGTCATCAAAAGTTTTTTGTTTGTTTTTTTTTTTTAATAAAAATATGTTTTCGCAATATGATCAGAGCAAAGTATTTGTTTCAGTTTTTAGATGGTTTCATCTACTTTCTTTAAGTAATGCTCTCAACTGATTTGAACTAATAAACAGCCTTTTTCTTTTTTTCTTCGTTTTTCTTTCTCTCTTTCTCTCTGACTTTTGCAATGACTGAACTTGTATTAATGCAGTTTTTTGGCTAATGCAGAATTACAAAAATGAAAACTAGCATTTGGCTAATATCCACAAAGAAGTTTGTATATAAAATTTACAAAGAAAATATCTGTCATTAAAGAGATTTTTTTTTTCTTAAAACCTGAAACTGGTGAATGTTTGTTAGCAATGGGCTTTTTTAAAAAATTTTTTTGGTGTTATCAGTCTTTTTTATCTTGATACAAACTCTAGTAAAAAGAAAGATTATGTGGAATCATCATTAGTGACTAATAGCTTGATGTCCTTTTTCATTCTTATTTATTTTAAAAACTGGAACAAACATAAAAATGCTCTCAAGAAATTTTTTTTTTTTTTTTACATGATTTTTTCTTTTTTTACAGTCGTATGAAAAAAGTGAATACGTCCTTGTGTTTCATCAGATAAAATTAGTGTATTGTTAGTTGATTAGTTTACTTTTTCATCTGATGTTTTGCTTTGTGTCATAGGGTTTTATTGTACTTTAGTACTATCAACTTATGACAAAGTATTAGCCAATCTGAGTTAACCCTGGAAGTCTTTAGGGATTACCGTATTTGACGGCATATAAGGTGCACTTTTTTTACTAAAAATATCTTTTAAAGTTCCCCTATGTTTTATATGCCATATGTAGGTTTACTAATTTTACTAATTACTAATTTTTTTTCTTGATTTACCATGCTGAAATTGGGGTGTGTCTTATATGCCATCAAATACGGTAGTTGTTTTGGCTTTTGAAAACCAGTTATATGGCATTTTTAACTTTATTTGGAAAAGCAGTTGGCTGAGGGAAAATGTTCATACTGTGTGTGTATGCATATATATATATATATATATATATATATATATATATATCTTTGTAAATTTTATATATATATATAAAGAATACTTGTTGGGGGAGGTTGACGGAACTGGCCCGCCTCAGCGGGTTTGGATAGTTATTTATTTTTGGCTGGGCCTACGGGCTCAGAGATACCCACATTAAAAAGACCTTGTGCCACATTCGATCCCCGTGGGTGGATTGATAAATATATATATATATATATATATATATATATATATATATGTCTCATTGAATAATTTAGAGAAGTTTTGTCTAATTATTTTCAATAGGATCCTCTCATATTCACAAACAAGCTTCTTAGTATCCTTATTAAAAGAGAGAAAATTACCATGTTGATACATGTTCATTTATTATGCATGCTTTTGACATTAGCACAATGTCATCATCAGGGTGTTGTTTTTCCTAAAAATAGTTGTGTTCATCATTTTTCTAAGACAATGTTGAAAGTACTCAGAGGATCCTGTTGAAAATAAATTAACTTCTCTAAATTATTCAATGAGACATGTCCTAATGAAAACACACTACCAAAATATACGCTATATATATATATAATTTATTTTGTTCAAAGTTATCTCCTCGATTTTCAGTTTTGTAAAACAAAAAGAAAAAAAAACATTTCTGATTATCAGAACATTTTATTTGTAGTTATTAATGCTCTATCTCTTGACATTGAGTAAGTGAATTACAAATACTACTTGCTTTAAAAGCATTACCCTCCAGAAATATATATACTTGTCGACTATTTTGTATTTTTGAAGAGTACTGAATATTGAAGATAGAGCGTTTATAGATATGAGGACTTGGTCTGAAGATTACATTGACATGAAACTGACAGGCATGATGCAGTGTTGTCCACAGTCAGTATTCAATTTTTAGTCAAATTAATTTTGAAATATTTTGTTTATAATTTAAGTCTGAACTTGTGAAGGTGGATCACTAAATGCATAGCCCTGATGCATTGTTATATGCATAAATTTGATCTAAAATTTTCACTCTGATTTTTGATCTATGTGATTAATCACAACTGAATTAAGAATGTTGCCAAAGAAAGCAAATCCCGAAGAATAAATAGTTATTGTGTAAATAAACACTCATTTCATAATTAATGTTACAAAAGTATTAATATATGTAGTTTCTCAGATGTGGTGGCATGGGAAATGAAACAAAAAAAAAAATCAAGAGCAGCAAAACAACAATTTTTAATAATACAAAAAAATTCTTTTTACATCATCCAATTCATTTATGGTTATCCGTCAGGTCTGAAGAAGACTTTTGCAATTCTTCAGTGGATTCAGAGGTGGCTCTGCAACAAAAGTCTTAACACAGTATCGGGAGCAGTGGAGACCTGGAAACTGGTGGCTGTGATCACTGTCAAAGTTGCACAGTAGTGCCGTTTTCTTTGAATTGTGTATTTTTGAGGCCACACTTCTTTGAAGTTTGCAAAGGTTTTGGTGGACAATGACATGCCAAAATGATCAACACACTTTTCTAGCTATTTTTCTCTGATTTTTTGCACCGGTGCAGTTTAGCTTTTGATTGAAGCCTTTTGTATCATTTCTTTGGTTGGCCTTGATGCCTTCTACCACATAGCTTTTCCTACAACAGATGCCTTGTAATGCAACGTTACTCCATACAGATGATGTA